TCTTCGGCAGGCCCAGACTTTTCCCCGGACTCCCTCCCGGCTAGCCGCTGTGCACTAACGCCCTGCAGGCTGTGTTCACGCCGCCAACGCCAGGCCTCTCCCGGCGCTCCGACAGAAGCTGGAGCCTCAGCTCCCAGCCCCGCCCGCCCCGGCGGGTGAGCAGACAAGCCTCTCAGCTGGTGAGTGCCGGTCGGCCCTGATCCTCTGTGCTGGAATCTCTCCGCTTTGCCCTCCGAACCCCTGTTGCTGTGCTCTCCTCCGCGGCTCCGAAGCTCCCCCGCTCCGCCACCCGCAGTCTCCGCCCGCGAAGGGGCTTCCTAGTGTGTGGACACTTTTCCTCCTTCACAGCTCCCTCCTGCTGGTGCAGGACCCGTCCCTATCCTTTTGTCTCTGTTTATTCTTTTTTCTTTTGCCCTACCCAGGTACGTGGGGAGTTTTTTGCCTTTTGGGAGGTCTGAGGTCTTCTGCCAGCGTTCAGTAGGTGTTCTGTAGGAGTTGTTCCACGTGTAGGTGTATTTCTGATGTATCTGTGGGGAGGAAGGTGATCTCCGCGTCTTACTCTTCCGCCATCTTCCCGGAAGTCTGCAAAACCTGTTTTAAATGAACTCCTAAGGACACAACTTAAGCCCTAGAATGGCTAGTCAGGTTTTATGTTTATCCCTTTTGATTATACTTCCGTATATTCCTGGAGAACAGTGTCTGAAAAAATGGTTCATTAAAAAATTGTATTGGGCTGGGGTAATCTGGGGCTTATTGACCAAGTCTAGGGGGTGGGGCTGCCCGATCAGGTGGCCCAGAAACAGCAAAGATTGGCAGACCTGTCTTCTCTGCTTCCCTGTACCATGTGGCATGAACCGATTTCAAAGACCATACGGTTGGTTTCATTTAAATAAATATGGCCGTTTGCATGCTACTCCCCCCCACCCCCCATAAAACAAGACAAAAATAAACCAGTAACTTGGAGCATCAAAGTTGATTTTGGAAAGAAAAGGCACCCTCCTGAAAATTAACTTAAAATGAGGTGTGCACAGTATGGGAAGAAGGGACCGAGAAGGTGTTGATATGTTTCTCATTTCTGAGGGTCAGTAGGTGCTGGTATGCTCAAGGACTTTCCTTCATTGTGTTCAGCCCTAGCTGACCTGGTCCATGGGGGACTGCGGATGGGGGGTCGGTGTTAGAAGAGACAGACTTTGGCATCTGAGTTGCTCCAGGAAAACTTTGCTGTTTCTGGAGGTGGAATAGTGAATTGAACTAGTCTACCTGCCAAAAGAGAAGACAGGACGTCCAAAGAATGTCATTCTTTCTCCATTTCTTTTTCCCTGTGTTTTGCAGGAATAGCTGCAAAGATTGGTGCTTACTATATATTATTAATGAAATGAAACATTGATTAAGTACTTGCTACACACAAAGTATTGTAAATGACCTAGAATAGGTGTTTGAAAGGACAAGTCTTCTTGGAGTAGGAGCACAAGAGCACACCCTCAGTGGGGAAGTTTCCAAGAAGGCTTCCTAGAGGCTGTGACCTTGAGTTGAATCTTGAAAGAGGAGTTAGCCAGGCAAAGAAGGAGAGCCTGGGTGACCTTTGTGTCCTTGTGGGGATGATGGAGTTGGAGGGAATGGAGGAGATCTGGGTTTTTCAAGACGGGACCAGCATTTGCGAAATCATAGGATGAGATTATCCGGCCATATTTGGGAGAATTCTAAGTGCAGCATGTCTGCAGTCTGGGGAGTTTGGGAGCAGCAGCAAAGAGAATAAATAAGTGAGTCAAGGCCAGACCTGAGAGTTGTATACGTTAAGAAGTTTGAATTGTATAGTAAAGTTCAGTGGTTTTCCATCCTGGCTGCACATTAGATTCCTCTTTCACTTCCTACCACCAGAGACTCTGATCCTACTGGTCTAGAGAAGAGAACTTGGGGATAGGAACCAGTATACACTTCAGCCGTGTTGAGAACCATCAGTCATTGATAGAGTTCAAGTATGTGAATGAGATAATAAGACCTGGATTTGAAAGAGCGCACACTGGTAGCAGTGCAGGAGGATGCCTGAAAAAGGACCCTATCCCAGCCAAAAGCAGTGAGCCTGTTGTAATAGTCCAGGTGAGGAACAACCAGCAGCTTAGTTGAGGCAGGAGTGGAGGGAATGGAAAGATAATTGGAAGAGAACATCTGGAAAGTGGGGGGAGGAGGGAGCAGGGTTGGGAGGGAGTGATGGGAAAAGGAAAATGTGGTCAGCTTGCCACAGAGAAGTCTTATAAGATAATAAGATAAGGGTTGAGTGTCCCCTTGGATTGGGCACGTGTAGGCAGCTGCAGCCCAAGGGAGTGACGTTTCAGTGAGATGATAGAGGCAGAAGCCGGATAGCCTTGAAGAACTTGAACCTATTTAAAGAAGTATTCGAGTTCATTAGGATCAGGGAAAGGTGGATAACCCCTGCGACCTAGATGGAGTTGCAGGAATGAAGGGAAAACACTGGAAAGGTAGGTTGGGGCCATGTTGTGAGGCCCTTGGGTGCCAGGGGTTAAGTTATTGGTAACGATAAGATGCAGTTCTCTGCTCTTAGGCTAAATGTTAACTTGAAAAAAGAGAGGATTAAGACTAGAAGGGTGAGACTGGGTGGAGCTAAGGCTCATTAGATGGCCAATGCTATCTTTTTTATGGTCCTGATGATTTTTAACAGCTATTTTAACAACAGAATGATGAAAATGTGTAGTATTCTGTCTCCCTTGGCATAATGTGGCTGCTGAAAAAGGTCACAGCTAATAGGAAAAGTGAGTTTTATTGCTTAATTGTGGATTCAATTTGTTTGTGTGCTTCCTGTTTCCATTGCCGAGTTGACCAGTTGACTAGTTAACTAGGCCAAGCGTCTCTGCAAGAGTGTCTGTTTAAAAAAGTGCTCTGAAATTCTTCCCCACCCTGAAAATATTTAATATAAAAAGCTGAAATAAATGTACAAGTGGCGTGTAGCTAGTTTAGGCTTGTTTTTGTATTATTTTAGTTTTGTATAGAAGAATCATTTGTGGCTACATATGATGGTTTAGCTCAAGGTTTCCCAGCCTTGGCACAGTTGACATTGTGAGCTGATTGATTCTTTGTTGCGCATTGTGGAGTGTTTAGCAGCACCCCTGGCCTCTGTGAACTAGAGACATGTAAGCATCTTTATTCCCGACCTGTGACATCTGAAAATATCTCCCAACATTACAAAAACTCCTCTGGGTGGGGAATTGGAGGGGGAAGGCAAAATCACTCTAGATTGAGAGCTGCTGGTTTAAATATATTACAGTGATTTAACCAGAAAATAATCACTTCTTCCTGCTACAGTATGGATGGTTTTCATGATGCTCGTGGAATCTAAAAAGCTTTTTATCACCCGAAGAAAACTAATGAATGTTTATAAATTGCCTTGTCGAAAGTTTATTTAAAAATATTTAAAGATAAAGGAAAAGTGACTTTACTGGTTGCCTAACCATTTCCCTGCCTGCCCAGCTTACCCACTTTTCCATTTAGTTCCTGGATCTGCTATCATTTAATTTTATAAGGACAGAGTTGATTTCCCCCCCCGACCCCCGCCCCGGGCCATGAAGTCCTCAATGCAAAGGATATTATGAATTAGAAAGTGTCCAAATAATTCTGCCAATTTAGACCTGTATGTGAAAATGAGGATTTCATACGGGACCAGGTTCTAGTGTTAGTTTCACACCAAATGCCTTCTAACTTTGAGTAAGCCACTTTAATCTTTTTTGTGCAAATTTTCTTATGTGTAAATGAAAGAGAGAAAGTAGATTATCTGCAAGTTTGCTTCTAGTTCTAAATATCTAAGATTGAAATCTTTTGATTGCTTCTTTGGGTTGCTCCTCCACCCCATGACACATCCCTCAATGCAGTGCAACCCAAAATGTGCTCTGCAGGTCACCAATGGTCCAGAAACGACGGTGCCGGTCTACAATGAGAAAAGTACAGAATCGGAGAGTAAGCAACTAGAAATGTTTATCATGATTCTACAAAGTAATTCTATACCTGTTACATATAATAATAAAAATTTATATTTTGCCTTAATCTTTTAAATTTAATTTTTATAGTAATCTATTATTATTTTATAAATTTATTTATTTACTTTTGGCTGCGTTGGGTCTTCGTTGCTGCGCGTGGGTGGGGGGCTACTCTTCGTTGCGGTGCGTGGGCTTCTCATTGTGGTGGCTTCTCGTTGCGGACCACGGGCTCTAGGCATGTGGCCTTCAGTAGTTGTGGCTCACGGGCTCAGTAGTTGTGGCTCGCGGGCTCCAGAGCATAGGCTCAGTAGTTGTGGCGCACAGGCTTAGTTGCTCCTAGGCATGTAGGATCTTCCCAGACCAGGGGTCAAACCCATGTACCCTGCATTGGCAGGTGGATTCTTAACCACTGCACCACCAGCGAAGTCCTATTATATATATATATTTTTTCATGTGCTTCAAGAAATCCTTTCATAATTGAGATTTTATTGGTTGTTTTGAGGATTAGTGCACAGACATTTCAATTTGTACACAATTCTCAACATACATACCAAAAACCTAAAAAATCATATAGTTGTGATTCTTTTCTGAACAGTTATTCCAGTGACTTTCCAGCTTAAAATTTGGGGGCAAATTTTCCTTCACAGGATATCAGGTACCAATATCTTCAAATATTGATATGCTGTTACATTGTAAGTCCCACTGATTCACAATTTAATATCATATACACTACATACTCAAATTGTCAGTTGTTCACAGCACATTAACAGTTACTAGAAGAACTGGATTACCACCACCAAAGATGTTACAGAGTGCACAAAATTCTGCCCAGGAGAGCCAAGATCAAGGGGTGAGTGGTTTGCTTTAGGAGACAATTCTACCAAAAACAACGTGGGAAGAGAAGTAATTTAAAGTGTTTAAGACATTAAATGCACAACTGACTCCAAACTGCCATTTAGTGTGCTTTGTATTATAGGATAGAAAAGCTACCCCCCATCTGTGGAATGTTAAGCTGACACCCAAGACAATCAAACCTCCCATATTCAATATCCCACTATTTTCTGGTTGTACCAAAAAATAAACAACCAGCAAATGATTTCACCTCTTAAAAAAAAGCATTTACACTTAAAAAATGGGATGAGGTGGGATTCCTTCCTTTTTAAAAATGTTTCTAGAGCTACTAAAAAACTTGCATTTACAAAATAGTTGATAAAAATATTCCTCTGGGTTGTACAAGAAGGGAAACAGGGACTACTGATAGGACCAGGTGTGTGATATTAATCAGACTTGGCTTCTTTCTCTCCTGCTTCATCAGAAGCTGGGCTCTTCTCATTTTTAGTTTCTCCATTTTCTGCAGGTAAGTCTTCTTTAGTCTCTTGGTTAGCCACTTCAGCCTGTTTTCCCTTTGCTCCCCTTTTCCCTTTTTTTTTTTTTTTTTTTTTTTGGCAGTACGCGGGCCTCTCACTGTTGTGGCCTCTCCTGTTGCGGAGCACAGGCTCCAGACGCGCAGGCTCAGAGGCCATGGCTCACGGGCCCAGCCGCTCCGCGTCATGTGGGATCCTCCCGGACCAGGGCACAAACCGGTGTCCCCTGTATCGGCAGGCGGACTCTCAACCACTGCGCCACCAGGGAAGCCCCCCTTTTCCCTTTTGTTTGCACTTTTTTGTCAGAAGATTTATCCTTTCCTGCCGCCTTTTTTGGCTTCCTTTCCACTTTTGCAGGAGCCGGTTTAGCTGACAACCTCGCCGATCTCCTCTTGGGCTCCTCGTTCGCCACCCCCTTGGCGGAGCTGACCTTCCTCTTGGGCATTGTGGCGGCGGGGTGGGCGCGTGCCGGGTGCGTGCTGGGTGCCTGCGGGCCGCGGCACGCCGAGAGCCTTCGCGAAGCTGGGCTGCCTGGCCGCTGCCGCTCCTCCCAACGCCCGAGCTGCTCACTATTATATTTTATGAAAGTATTGGCCCGCATTGTATTGGAAAAATAAAAGCAGAACAAACCTTTCACTAGAGATGGTTTGAGAAACACTGCCTCAATGTATGATGGAGAATTTGCTTTGCCTCTTTTTCTACCCTGGCCAATAGTAGTTATTTAATATATTCCTCCTCTGGAGTTTCAATGAAAAGAGGGACAAGATATTGCCTGTCTGCCCTATTAACAGCATAAAATTGGTGGTAAATAGATTTTATTATAAAGAAATTTGCCTTACAGAGAATAAGAAGTAAGTCTGGAGTAAATCTGAGGTTCCCTTTGATTGTGTGTATGTGTGAGTCTTCACACAGCTCATGTTAGTGTCTTGCATTAAGATGTTTATCTTAGAACATGAACCCAAAGAGCAGTGAAAATGTCCTTTCTGAAATTATCTTATCCCCAAGAATCCCTTACATATGAAATCTACTAGGATGCTTTGTCTATTGGAGTCTCCAAAACCAATCAATGCTGTTGAGGGTAGGTAAGGTATGGATTATACTTTTGAAAGAGGTTAACGCCTATATTTTTGAGTCTATTCATTCATTCAGACTCATCCGGCATTTGGGAAAATCTATTATATGGACTCAGGTGTGGTAGACTGACGTGTCAACAAGGGCAGTTAAGCAATGAAGCTCATCATAATTTGACCTGGGTCTTTATATGTTAAACTGTGGTGGAGGAGCCAGCCTTCCAGTTGAGTTATTTGAAGCAGAAAACATTGCTGGGTTCCCTGCATTGTGGACCACTGGTGCCAATACCTTTTACCCCATTTTGGGTGGAATAATCCAGAGAGGTCTGCCCTACTCCTGGAAGCCCTTTGCACATGGCCTGGCATTGTCTGGGAACAGTCTCTTGGCCTGCAGTTCCTGCCTGGTCTATATGGGCTTGTAGTGTACTTCCTCCTTCAAAGTAAAAAAGGCAAGCTCTTTGCCTGCCCTATTAGCAGCATAAAAATCACTCTTTCTTTCAGTTTTTTTTTTTTAATCCAGAGGCTGAAAATATATAACATATTTGGAAACTCCACTGGCAGACTTGGCAGGCATTTCATATTTACTTGGACTTAACATGAATTGGATTTGGTCTTCTGATTTCCCCACCTCCATCTCTCGGAACAAGTTATTTATTAACCGAGTAAGTCTGTGGTAGTGGATCAGACATGCGCATGGCACGTCTTTTGTAAGTGCGTTTGTTCCGTAAGATTTATGCTAGCCCAAATTATTTTATACTTGTTTTCATTGTTGAAAATTTACTGTGTTCATTCTGGGTTTGGCGTAAGTATTTGTAGTGTGCTAGGCGTTCCTGTGGTTGAACATTTTATCGCTGTAACACTTCATGCAAAGGAAATTAAAAAATATAGAGTGAAAGCATTTCCTAATATGGTTCCAATCAGCTGTGTACTTTAGTAATTTGATTTGTAGGAACTAGAGAGAAGAGTGTCACTGAGCTCTTTTCAGTCATTCATAATTCTCTGGGAATTCAAATCATGGTTCCAAGTTTATGAAAACATCTATTGAAATCTTAAGTCCTTTATTTTTCTGTTTGTATTGAGGTTGTTTTTTTGTTTTGTTTTGTTTTGTTTTTTTATTACCACTGCAGTATCTAAAAGAATTCAGAGAAGGAGGTGAGTCTCCTCTTTGTATCTTGGACAAGAAAAACTGATGGGAATTGAGGTTGATTGGCTTGGCAGAAGTCAGTCACTGGTACAGAGGGGCAGGCCCTTTTATTTCTGCATTATCCCATGTGTGTGTTCCTGCTGCTGTACTCTTTGGGCTAAGCAGTTGGGCTATAATTGGTAAATTCCATTTGCCTGGTGTGCTCCTAATAATCTATTGTGCAATTACTAGTGGCATAGCCAGGTGCATCTTCCCGGAAAATGTAACTCACAAGGTGGAGGATGTTATTTGGGCAAACTAATTCAAGATCTAGGTTGTGATCCTTGCATCATTATTTCTTTGACTCTTTCTCTACAGAGACTTAAACTTGTTTCCTTTTCTGAGAGTCTCTGGCCTTTGACTTCTGTTTTTGCCAGTGAATAAGCATGACTTCTGTTTTGGCTAGTGAATTAACATGTGATAATCCATATATTGTTAGTTTCAGATTTCCTTAATCTAGTTCACACCTAAAAGTAAAATCAAAGTGAAATATGAAATCATAGCTCTTAGAGCTTGGAGGCAAGGCTTGGAAGGTTTCATCTGTTGAAGACAGTAGTAGCTTGTCAGGAGTCTTAGATGCATGTAGAATTTTGCAATCATTTCCTATATTTTAATTTTTTGCTTTTATTTCTTACCATGTTTTACATTTCCCTCTTGACCTTCAGCAATCTTAAGTTCATGTAGTGTTGTGTAAAGTCCCCTTTCACAGTGGTGTTTTGAGCCCTGGTCCTCCTCATACTTGACTAGGCATAAATAAAGTCACGAGGTTATGCATTTTGGCCAAGAGAGTTCATCAATCAGTGGTTTTCTATTTGAAAATATAGTCTGTGAGGTTAATCTTTTCAGTAGTCAAAGAATTAATGTAAGCGAAAGCTAGTGGATATTCAGCAGTCTTAGTTGTGTTTGGAGGAAAATAGCCAAGGAGCATGGTGGTTCCTATGATCGCTAGTTCTGGCTTAGAAGACATAACTTCTTTTGCTTCAAAGATAAAGGAAACCCACATTCATTCTTGGCCTTTCTTCCTGCTTCTGTGTTTCGTCTAGGTTGTACCTATGAAGGAAGTACCTATAACAGCTCCTTCAAATGGCAGAGTCCTGCTGAAGCCTGTGTCCTGCGCCAGTGCCAGGTAAAGTCCATCTATTTTACTCTCCAGTGAGAAGAAATCCATAAAGTCCTCTTCAGAAAACCTTTTCCGATATCACAGAACAAAACTCCAAAGAAAAAAGCAAAACAAAAATGAGAAACAAATGAAAAACCAACTGTATCCTTGTCCAAATTTATTGTGACAGTCACCATAACAAGACAGTTACAGGATAGATGTTGCATGGGACTTGCTTCCAGAAACGCATAGCAGAATTGTTCACCATTGTTAAACTGTGCCTGGAAAAACTCTGAGAAGATGCATATGTCCTTGGGGAAAATTCATGTCTTCCTGTGAGTCAGCTTTGCAAAACACAAATTCTTATTAGCAGAAAGAGGTATTGTTAGAGGATATATGTTTCCCTTTTTTTGATTTAGAAACATTTTGAGCAGGAGCCAGTCTGCAGACTGTGTTAAATCAAAGCAGTTAGTACATTGTAACCTCAGTGATTTCAACGCAACAAATTTAAGAACCACCAGTTTGGATCCTAGGGAGCCGACTGTGCCTGGTGCTTGCTGAACTCTGCAAAGAGAACTGTTTCCCTGTGGCTCTAATCGTTACAGGTCTTAAACAGGCAAGATAAACCAAAGGGGAAATGAAGAATTGAAATTGTCTAATTCCTTTTCTTTAAAGAAATACTCTGTTAAAAAAATGATCATCTAATTTTGACATAATTTAAAAATTTTTCTCTGTAGAGAAGATACTGTTAAATCATTTTCCCCCAGTCTCATTTCACTGTTCAAGGGTATACTTTTGCATTTAAAGGAGAACCAAGGTTAGTATAATAATGCATATTTCTCTCTGATCTTATCGCAAGTATATTGACATTTAGTTTATTGAAATCTAAATTTTATGTAATCATGTTCTTTGCATAAGCCCACAGTGGGCATGTTCACTCGTAAGATCTTCAGTTACTTGTTCAGTTAAATGTTCAGTTTATTTATGTAGTAATCTAAATTATTTATGAAAATAAGCAGTAGTTAGAACAGATATGAATAATAGATTAATTGACTCAATAAATATTTGTTGAATTTTTACCCTGAGTTATACATGCAATCAGCTTCATGGAACAAAATAATGACAGCAATGACTTTTAATAACATGAAAAGCCCACATTCATTCTGAAATTTGCATCACCCCATCCCCACCCTGCTTCTTGACCGACGTGATTTCCAATCTTTGAGAGGGACACTCCGAAAGCCATGGTTACACTGTCTTTCAAACAAGATGATTGCATGCCTTTTGGAGTGTAGTGTAACATTTTTATACAGTAGTCAGAAGTCTTGACAGTCTTCCAGTTGCATGGACCAGTGGTGAATTTTGCTGCCTTTGGATGAAGGCTTTGTTTAAATTAAATGGAAACTATTATCTGGGAGGGAATATTCTGTTGACTGAATAACACATCAAGGCTTCATCAATTGTGAATATCGGCTTTGGTCACTAGCCATTCACCAGCGGCCAGAGAGAATGTTGCAGGAATATCGAATTATTACTGGAAGAGATCTTAAAGACCAACATCCCTGGGAGTGAGGAAATGCTGAACTATAGACTGGAGTTCAGAAAGGGGACGTTAGCTACCAGGAATGAACTTTGCCTTTTAATTTTTTTCCTTTTATAATACTTTGCCTACGCCCTGTTAGCTAGTTTCAAAATATTATTTCACTCAATAACCATAAAAGCAAACTTCTGTTAAGGTAGTTACAAAAAGCTGCTCCTCTGCTCAGCTGGTACCTTCCCACTCTTGCTTACTTTCTTCCTTCTTTAGGGAAGGAGACTTCATCTCAATGCAGGAAATGACCATTTACTGGTACCCATCAGGGAAGTCTTCCTTTAAGATCCTCCTCTGCACAGTGACACAATTGCAACCTCTCTCTCCAAGATCTTCTCTTCTCAGGGTGTAGAATCAGTAACAGAAGAGAGAGTATAGTGTAGTGAGTAAAATATGGGCATTGCCATTCACATAACTTGTTACTTAACCTCTCTAGACCACATTTTCATCACCCATAAAATGAGATAGTACTACCTCATAGGGTGGTCGTAAGAATAAGCAA